GGGCGGGCGGCGCAGGGGGCGAGAAGGCCCCCGGGCAAAGGGCCAGGCGCCGAAGAGTGCAACCGGCCAGGCAGACCGCGAGGGAGAAGAAAAGCAGACACGCACCGGGCCGCGGCAAAGGCCTTCACCGTCAGCAGGAGCTGCCCGTTGGGGATGATATCGGACAGGGTCATGGGCTCGCGGCAAACCGGGCACGCCTGGCCGCCGGTGTCCAGCGAAGCCGCCGCCTGGCCAGTGGGAGGGACGGCCACCGGGGTGCCGTCCGGCTGGAAGGTCCACTGATCTCGACCGACCGTGGCCGGGGGAAGGGACGCGCTGGATTGCGACATGACATCCAGCGCGCGCATCACGCACATGGAGCAATCTGTGGGCGCCATTCGGCCCGAAGGGCGCAGCGCAGGCGAGGGAAGGAGGGCGAGTGTCAGTACCGGGTGTCGGAGCGCGCACATGGGGAATGGCCGCCCGGGCGCCGGCCACGCACAGGTGTGTCGGCACCGCAGCGACATGACCGGGGCCACCGTCATGAGTTCCCGGCAGATGGGGCACCGACAGGCCTCGTCCAGTGCCCGGAGCGAGGCATCCGGCCAGTCGGCCGGGTCGTCATCGACCGAAATGACCGGCGACGGGTGTTCGGCGGGCGGTTTCAGCGATTTGGCCAGGGAAGTGGAGGCGCGCTGCCGGGTGGCGCCGGCGGCCACCGTGGCGGAGCCAGCCGACGAGGTGACACCCCGGCGCCGGGGCGGCATGGACTCGGGACGGGATGGGGCGGCGGGCGAGGGCGGCGGCGGCGGCGGCGGCGGCGGCGGCGGCGGCGTCAGGGGCAGGGAGGGGGAGGCAGGCGAGCCGGGCGGGGGGCGGTTGCACCGAGGGAGACAAGAGGAGGGAGGTAGGCTGACGGGCGCGGGGATCGCCGGGGTGACTCGGCATCAGGCCGCAAGAAAAGTGGCCCCTCCGGGGGGAGGGGGGGGGGACGCAAAGGGCGCGCTGCTCGCGGTGTCCCCGCCCCTCCTCCCTCCCCCGGCCTCAGTCAACGGCTCCGGGCCCTTGTTTCCGGCCCGCTGGTTCTGATCTAGAAAAAAAAAAACACCGGCGCCTGCCCTCGCTCGTTCGTTCGAGCCAGGACGCAGATCGCCTGCCCTGGGCGTCCCTTCTCCCGCCTCAGGGAGGGGCCGGCCCGGCGGGGGGGATACACCGCTCGATGGCACCCGCGGCCGGGATGACCCGAACCCGGCGCATTTTTCTCACACCACACAGGCGCAGCGGTGGCAGTAGTATCGCCGGGGGCGCCGCAAGCGCCCTCCCCAAGTTCCCCATGTGCCGACGATTCAGTCCTCCGGTTAAATCTTAATCCGGCGCGGCCCGACCGGAGTTGGCATCTGCCACGTCCCCGTCGGGGCTGCGCGCCCGGCCCTCGGGCCGTCCTCCGCGTCCTCCCTCAGGGGCGATCGCCCTCCGGGGGGGGGGGGGGGGCCGGCGGACACTCGGAATGACGTACGTGTACGCGATTGCCGGGCTAGGTGTCCTGATCGAAGGTACATTCTAGTGTCCAACTTGGGCGGCCTATTGCGTGGCGGGTGATGGCTCGATCTGGCCCTGAGCCTGGATATACCTGGGGCCGGGGGCCGGGGGCCGGGGGAGGCGCGGGGGGCTGCCAAAAAGGGCCCGGCTCGCAGATGGGGGCTGTATGGAAAGTCAACCCTCTGTCTGGCTTCCCTCTCCCCCCCCCCCCCCCGTTCCCGTCCCTCGCCTCTCTCCCCCCTTCCTTCCCACTCTGTCTTCCCCCTCCCCTCCCCCCTGCGCCTCCGCCTTCACAGCCTGGCATCATCTCGCCCAGAAAAAACGAGACACACACCCGCCCAGCACCACCATGCCGTCAGACTTCCTGGCCCCCCACCATCTTGAGTTCCTCCAACCGGTGACCACCCTGGAGGGGCACTCAGACGATGTACGAATGTCCTCGCCTTAACACACACACACACACACACATACACATACACATACACACATACACACACGCACACTCATTTATGTGCCTGGCAGTCTCTCTGCCCCCTGTGCTCCTGCCACTGGATGCTCACCGCCCCGGCCTCCCTTTGCTTCTCTGCCCCCCCCCCCCCCCCTCGACCCCCTGCGCAGATCAAATCCCTGGCCGTCC